TGTCTCGGACTTTCTGTTTGTGCTCCCAACCAATAGCTCATGCCGGGAATTACAAAAACTAGCTCGCCTTGACTCTTCCGACTAGCAGTGTCGGCTGTCACGTCAGCTCTTACCCAAGTAGCTAACCGTGCCAGTAGTCCTTATCGAGCGCAACTCACTTTCTCATCTTCACACTTTGGAATTCGAACGCGAAGTTTCTCCTGAAATTCCGAAAGGAGTAAAAGAACGATAATTTCTACGATGAACAAAATTTAGAATAAGGACGGTTCTGCATTACGATATGTGCTTGCTTCGGACTCGACTATCCTCTTTAAAAGATTTCTGCATAATCTTTTAAGATGGAAAAAACGCTCCATCTTACTTATCGAACCGGATTGTGTTGGCTTCTGCTCCCGTGCGTTCATCTCGATGCCGAGCGTGAATAATTGGTGTCCCCCTCGAAGGTTGGTTATTCACGAAAGTGGCGATAGAAAATTGTGCCCTCGAGTCTTCGTGATAATTTAGCGATGGCATTCGAACGAAACTCATATACTACACAAACGAATAAAGATAAGCAAAAACAAATAGATGCTTAATCTTACTTGCAATCGGGTCTTTCAAAAACAAGGTCAATACCCGACTTAGGATAAATAAGAATTGGCTAAACTTCAAGAGAAAATGAAATTTAAAGTTGGAAAGCTTGAATAATTGCTTATACAACGAAACCAAGGTAGGGGTTTGAACATAGCCCAAATAAAAAAAGAAAAGAATTAGGTCGACCGTAATTTTTCAGTGTCTATTGCTCGAGTTAGTGGTATCACGAAACAAAATTAACAAGACAAGGATCAATAGAAAATCAAAATGTTGAGGCTAAATTCTATCTGGAATTCTACGCCCGGAATGGAGAATCTAGCGAAATCGCGAAAATTGGATAACAGACAAGGGTCTCGAAAACAAACTTCGAACTTGCCTTCAAGGCAATTCTAAACAAGGTTCTTAGACTCGCGGAGACTGGCCCGAATTTTTAGAAAATGAGATGCCTATCTCCATCAGATCTTCTTCTTACGTAAGGAAAGAAAAGACAAGCGAAAATTTCAAAGTATGGAAATTGCATAGCACAAAAGAAGTCCCAAGCTAAATTCAACATTGGTCTGCCAAGCGAAAAGAGAATAAAATAAGGTTTGCAAAGGCCTACAAGAAGGAAAAAGCTTAAGAAGGAACAAGACGGCTTCGCTTCTACCAGTACACGATTTACTGCCTTCACTATTAATTCCACTGTCCCCGGTAAGTCCTGATGTCGCTAGGAAATCGCTCGCGGCTCAAAATACGAAAGGGAATTTTTTACGTGTTCTTCAAGACAGAAATGTCACTTGAGATTGTGGCATAAAATATTCACGCGATAACGGATCGGTCTATCCGCCTTAAGAACAAGGTCCGATTCCTTCGTTTGAGAATTTCGCAAAAGAATAGGTCACTATTGCCTGTCTCGAGGCTTAGCCACTCTCGAGAGTCGCGACAGTGTTACGTTTCAAGTTCTCTCACACTCATTGTGGTCGAACAACATCGTGCACGAGGTACCTAGACCATTCCGCCAGTTCGCACTCGACTGGGTTCTAATACGCAACTAATGGTCTTATCAACCATGGTTACAGACTTCCGAATATCCCACACATCTGGGACTTCTTCGGTTGTTTGCTCCCTTCGTTTAAGCATTCTCCTTTCGAGATGGCCCGTGAATGGTCCTCATCCGAAGACACCACGTGTCGATTAGCCAAATCACTTAACCGAACAATCTTTTGGTTGATGATTGCACTTTCGAACCAAAACGGATATCCCCGACTCCCTAGCTCCTTAAATCCTACTTGTTCTTCGTTGATTGCTTGCTATTTATATTTGCTTTAATTGAAGTTTTTCAAAGTTGATAATCAAACCAATCTTTTGAATTAGAATGTTTAGGAAATTTATGTCTTTTATTTGTGCTTGAATAAACGTACAGAATATTCCGGCTGACCTTCCTCGTGAGACACAACCCGGTGTTCGAATCTTTCGATTCTACTCCGGTAAAAATGACTACAACAACGGTGTCGTGTATATAAAAATACTTCTGGAATTTATTAAAATTGGTGAAAGTTTTAGGAGACTAAGATGAAATAGAGCAAAATAGCAGCTTGATAATTTTGTACAATTACCTTCACTCGTTTGAAAACGTTTTTTTGTTTCTCTTCCGGGACAGAAGCGCAATCCTTGTAGCAGGGGATTAATTTTATCACCAATTAGTGCATATAACTTTTGGATTGAGCCAATAGGTAGCCATGATTTTCCAACAATGTCGAACTCTATAGGAAGTTTTTTCTTACCATTTGCAATCCATATTTTTTGTAAATTTTGCCCTGTTGAGATTGAGCGAGTCTTTTTTGATCGACGCTTGGTAGGACCTGTAAAGAAAAATAATGATATACAATCAGGAATTACGAAAAGTGAATAAACATTACCATGAGAAAAATTGCAACTTACCAAACTGAGATCCACGGTCCCCTGCGACATCTTCACTGTGAGCGATATTATCTGTCATTTCCTAGGCTACTTTCCCTCAGTATATTTTATAATAAATTTTCATGGAGATAATTTTCTTTCTAGAGAATTCCCTAGTAACCTAAAATTTTTGAATGATGTGTTATTACCGCCTATAATTTTTTCATCTGAAAGTGGCGCCTCACTGAAAAAGTTGGCGGCTTTACATTTTATTTTGGTCAAAACCTTGGGCTCAGCTCGTCCAACACCTACATTTATCAAGATAGTCTATCAAAATACTATCCCGACACTTAGAGTCATTCACAACATCTTCACTTAGCCGAACATTATCGACTAAGTGATTCGTGGAGTTTTTGTGGAGTTTGGAATCTTTGGATTTACCAACTAGACTCAAAAAAACCAATTAAATATCATTTAAACCGACTCGACACGAAAAACAAGGTGACGGGTCATAGGGAAGTCAAATAGATCAAGAAAAGTCAAAACATTGCTCGGTAGACGCAGCCGGGGGCTGGGCTGGGTGGCTGGAAATGGTCCGGCAGACACGGTGCAGATAATACTTACCGAGTTTTGGGAATTTAGCTCAGGGTTTTCAGCTCAAATTTTTACACATAACAGAGGACACACAAACACACAATTACACCAAACACAAAATCACCCTAACTCAGATAAATAATTTTTGCAAAATCATGCTCAAAATCTGAAGTTACGAGTTCATATAGCTAGGGTTCGAATTTGGCCATGAAAATTGGACACAATGATAATACCCAGAGAAAACTAGAACCTCAAAATTTCAACTCATTTCAGGAAATATACGATTTCCTATGATTTTTACAAGAAACAGACTAGAAATCAAAATCACCGTTTGTCCAAGTTAAACATCGAATTTTGACCTGATATTTTTACCACCTAAACCTCAATATCAGAGAGCACACATATCAAAATTTGACAACATTTGCCTCAGAATTCGATTTTTCATAGATTTTCAAGTAGCAGCAGCAGCAGCTTGACTTCAAAAATCCATATCTCACATTATACACATCAAAATGGTCCAAGGTCTTCACCATTAGAATAAGGACGATCCTAAGTTCCATATACTCCAGGATTTCTACGAATTTCACACAGGTACTTCGGTTTCATCAATAAACCGAAAGGATGATAACAATTCAACACATAATCGTTCATGTATCATACCAAAGCCCTCAAATACACCAAGGACAGCACATATATACATCACATATCATAAAATAAGTCCAGAGTAAGCCACTCATTACCGTACTCCGAAGGGGAGACGCGAAAACGGGGCAAAGGCTAGACACGGCTGCGCTCGGCGGCGTGGATCGGCTCGTGACGGCCTTGCTCTTGAACTCCAATGGCTTGGGGTCGTGGAGGACACTTGCTGGTCAGGACGTGCTCGAACAGAGGCCGGGGGATCGAGGATGAAGGCCTGGGATCGATCGTTTCTCTAGGGTCGTCGGTTGTGCATAGGGTGCGGGGAAGGAGAAGACTCGTCGGCGGGAATCAAGTGGGAGAGAGAGGGCGGTGGATTTTCTGTGAGGGAGAAGGGCTTCTTGCGTGAGAGAATAGAAGAGAGCGAAGTGGATTTTTAGGGAGAGAAAAGAGCAATTTCCGTGGATTAAAAAGGAGTAAAAAGGAGAGTAATACACTTACCATATATGTTGATCTCCTTGGCACATATTAAGGAGATTTGATAGAGAAAAAAGGAGTTGGTGGCGTGGAATTAGGGGAGAGAAGAGCTGGTCAAAGATCGCTCCTTATTGCCTTAGGAATTTGAATTCAAAAAAATGATAAACAAATTAAACAATACAAGAGGGCGGGTTTGGTTTCATCAATTAGGACCGGTTTGGCTGGTCATGAGGGTCGAAAGACCACATCTTAGGATCTGGTTGAGTCGGCTCGATGTTCGGGTCACACTGGTTCGAAAAAGAATTAAAACGGACAACAATTCGGCTTACGCTATTAAACCAAAAATTCGAACGACAGTCGAAAAATAAAACGAACGACATATATAATTATATTATTCACATAATAATATAATATATAACCACATAATCAAGGAATTAAAATAATAAAATAAAATTTCAATAATAAAACAAAAAGTGGAAAAATCCAATATTCGAACGGAGCACTACATCCTCCTCCTTAAAAGAATTCCATCCTCGGAATTACAAAAAAATGAACATCCCAAAAAGGGGGCAATAACATAAGAGAGAAAGACCAAACTCATGAAGTTCGGATACTCCGCCTGAATCTTGTCCCTACTCTCCCAAGTCGTATCGCCTTTGCCCTGACAACCCCACTGGACTTTGACGAGTACTACTCCCGGCCTCTCTCTGATGGACCGTCCGTTCCAACAGGTCAACGGTACCTCCATACAGATAGGGTTATACTCATCACGCAGTTCTTCAGAGTTCACCGCGTACCCCTAGATCATGCACACGTTCCCTCCATCATGAGGTCTAGAACATGTCATGCGTCCTCGTAAGCTCTAGTGATGGAGTTAACCGTCAGGCTAAGTCATTTACTTGGTCGAGAATCATAATAGGACTGAATAAGCGTGGCTGTAGCCTCCTCTCTTTTGAAAAAAAAGGCGCATAACACCTCTATCCGCACCAAAACCTCAAACAGTACCATCAAGGTCGTCGCTTGATCATCATCATTACATGCGTACCTACCCATGGTAAGAAAATCCTCACATTCTACTCATCTATCAAATACACAAGACCCTAACCGTCTTTTCGTGTCTCTATAGAATATTCCGACCGTCTAACCATATAGGGTTGATTCGTAGTATCGAGCTTCAGTCTCGTGCCCGGATCACGCTGAAAACTTGCCCACTATTTCGTCATAATCCATGTGTCGTCAGAATAGTTGACACGATACCCTATAACAACAGTCAAACTCCATATCACTTAATCGAGAATTATTGATTAGGGAATTCATACATCAGTTCAGTGGAACTTGGAGCCCTCGGTTCAAAGCTCGGGACAAAGGTTTAAGGAGAATTTATTGGTTGACATAAAAAATTCATCGTACAAACCGAAAAGGGATCAATGGTTCAGGGTTGGTGCACTGTCACCCGAGAGGTGGCACACTCCCTGGCGCTGCATAAGCGGGGCGCTGGGACGCGTGCGTGCAACTACTCGAAGATAAGCTGCAAGGTCGAGGTTTGGCCGTACACACTGCTCTGCGGAGTTCCTACGTTCAGTGATGGTGGCTGCAACTCTCGCGCGATTCAACGGTCGGCCCTGCAGTTGGCCTCACGTCTCTCAGCATGGGCATGCATGCTGGACCACCACTTCGTATGGCTACACCTAGCCAGGGTCAGCATTCAGTTCGAGGTGCAGAAAATAAATTCTCTAATTCAGGGTTAAGAATTTCCAAGATAACCGAAGGAAAAAAAAAGGTTTTTCATAAAACTTTCGAGTGACGAAAATTTAGGGTTTAATAAAAAACAATTTCCCCTATATACACATTATACACATCAAAAAGGTCTAAGGTCTTCACCATTAGAATACGGACGATTCTAAGTTCCATATACTCCAGGATATCTACGAATTTCACACAGGTCCTTCAGTTTCATCAATAAACCGAAAGGACGACAACAATTCAACACATAATCGTTTATGTATCGTACCAAAGCCCTCAAATACAACAAGGACAACACATATATACATCATATATCGTAAAATAAGTCCAGAGTAAGCCACCCATTACCGTACTCCGAAGGGGAGACGCGAAAACGGGGAAAAGGCTGGACACGGGTGCACTCGGCGGCGGGGATCGGCTCTCGACGGCCTTGCTCTCGAACTCTGATGGCCTTGGGTCGTGGAGGACCTTGCTGGTCAGGACATGCTCGAACAGAGGCCGGGGGATCGAGGATGAAGGCTTGGGATCGGTCGTTGCTCGAGGGTCGTCGGTTGTGCGTAGGGTGCGGGGAAGGAGAAGGCTCGCCGGAGGGAATCAAGTGGGAGAGAAGATTTGCTGTGAGGGAGAAGGGTTTCTTGCGTGAGAGAATAGAAGAGAGCGAAGTGGATTTTTGGGAAGAGAAAAGAGCAATTGTCATGGATTAAAAAGGAGAGTAATACACTTGCCATATATGTTGATCTCCTTGGCACATATTAAGGAGATTTGATCGAGAAAAAGAAGCTGGAGGCGTGGGATTAAGGGAGAGAAGAGCTAGTTAAAGATCTGTCCTTATTGCCTTAGGAATTTGAATTCATAAAAAATTAAAATGATCAACCAATTAAACAATTCAAGAGGGCGGGTTTGGTTTGACTGGTCATAAGGGTTGAAAGACCACATCTTAGGACTTGGTCGAGTCGGCTCGATGTTCGGGTCACACCGGTTCGAAAAAGAATTAAAACGGACAACAATTCGTCTTATGCGATTAAACCGACAATTCGAATAGCAATCGAAAAATAAAATGAATGATATATATAATTATATTATTCACATAATAATATAATATATAACCATATAATCAAGGAATTAAAATAATAAAATAAAATTCTAATAATAAAACAAAAATCAGAAAAATCCAATATCCGAACGGGGCACTGCATAGTATATCGCATAAGTATGACTGAAGATATGTATGAGTTGTGTTCCAGATTTTTTTACAGAAACTAGCTCTGACTGTTGGTCGATTTATCACTTGTTAAATGCCATTATTTGCAATTTGATGGGTCTACTCTCAGATCTAGAGTGAACCGGTATTAAAGAGCTCAGATCTGTTTGAATCGCCTTCGAACCATTGCTAGACCGCGAGGACACCTGCAAAAACTCAACACCGGAGGTGTTTCCGGCGTAGAGCCTCCAACGCTCAAGTCAGTATTCGAAAGCCAACACCTTATATTTTTTATCAACCACGACTCAATCAAAATGGTTAAAAAAATCACTGATATGTAAAGCGCAATTCAAATGATATTTTATATCTTTATACAAACTCTCACTTAGCTGCGTACTACAAATACCCAAAGTGAAAACATGTTTCATGAAACACCTTGCCCATTTATT